GGTAGACTTTGTGCAGTGTTTGGTGATTAGGGCTGTGACGTCGGCTCCGCCAACTCAGCCTGAGGGTCAGTTGTGAAGTTACGACCAATCGAACACAGGACAACTCATGGGGACGAAGGTTTTATGGCACGAAATATTACCCTAAACCCCGATCAACTAGTATAACTGGCTGTTTCCAGGATTCTATACGAAACCGCTGATGCAATGCGCCTGAGGTCCATGCGCTAACAACATCCACATAGGAGTCTCTTTGGAAGAATTGACTGTTCAGTTTGAAGTGGAACAGGGAGGTAGAGCTGGCGCGGTGACTTTACCTCATAAATGAAAGCCTTCGCTTCTTGCACATGCTCTTCTCTCATGACACCTACTTTAGTTAAAATTAGGGTTTACAATCGTTTATTTTACTTAAATCGTACCAGCGTACTAGTGGTAGTGGATAAGGTCGCTTATCTAAATTTTCTTAATTTTTAGATCTGCTCCTTTGTGATGTTTTTTTTCAACCCTCTTTAGTCACTTCATTGTGTTAACGTTATAATTTAAAGGTTCTTATAATCATCTGCATCAATAATTTCGAACATTTTAACCATTTTGGCAAATAAATCTCTCCATTGGTGGTCCGGCTGAAAGCTGCATCCCAATAGAGTGTTTACTTTGATGGGGAAAAAGTGTTTTGTGAAAGTTTGCGGAACTCGGAGTTTATAACGTTGCCTCATTTTTCTGCGATGCTTAATATAAATGCCAGAACTATCCTTTTGTCGTGAGTACTTTTCTGGTGATAAAATTCTTTAAAAGCCTGTATTTATATCTAGGAAAGTTGTCTTTTTAGGATTTCACAAAAAATGAAATTCAGTTAAAGCTATGAAATTTACAGGTGGATACAATTTGTTGCTTCAAGTAATTAAATAAATTTGTAGAAACCGCTACAGTGGTGTAGCGTTTGCATTTGTTGCTGATTTCCGAGAGAAAAATGTTGCAAGAGTTTAACGGGCTTGCGGAATCGCACAAAGCCGGGCCAAGGCCACCGTTATGTTTATGACAAAAGGAGCTGGTTCCTAAAATTGCCGTGCTAGGGTTAGTTCAATTAACAGTGCTTTATCTCCGTTCCATTCCTAAGGACACTTTTGTGAACTCAAATTAAATGTGTATTTAAGCTTTGTGATATGGATCTAAAATAAAATAGAACTTATGGTTATTTAACATAAACGTGCGTACAAACTTTATTGAGCAAAATGTTGAGGTCTTTTTTGGATTAATCAATTTGCTTTGTAACACAAATCAGCTCAAAACGGATAACAAGCACCGTTAGATTTGGCTATCAGGAGGTAATTAAAGGATAAGTTTTAGATTTCAAATATTGTATAATCCTTACACAATGTGAAAGTTGCAAGCATCGACTACGTAAGTGCTCACTTTACAAACTTGCCTGTCAAAACGTTAGTATTTGGATTTGAACTGATAGGAAAGCAAACTATCTACACAACACAGTAGACCTTTTATCTGTGCAAAGGCGTGGTGTAGAAGAGGTCGGGTCGAGCGCGCGCCGACTGCCAACCGATGTGACCCTCGAAGTTGGAGTTCCAGGGGTTGCGCGGGGCGTGGTGAAACTCGCCACTGGCCAGCACCGCGCCGCTTCGGCCGGCACGGGTCAGCGTGCCGACGACGGCTCGAGTGAGGCTCCGGAGGGCAGACTCACACCGGGTGCCGGGACGAATCAAATGTCCGTTCCCGACTTCAATGTCACAACGACTGGACGTTGCAACAGGGGCACTGTGCTGTTGTGCATCTGCAAACATACAACAATCCAAACCACTTGGTCTATAAGTCCCCACGCTTATAAAACAAGTCATGTGGCAATTGCTTTTAACACAACAGTTCATGAAATTGGAGGCTTTGGAATACATCAAGTTCAATCACCTCGATGTGTCAGTTTCGAAGAATTTTTATTTGCACTTGCTTGAATTTAATTTTTTTTAACAAATTGCATTAGTCCAGAGGACAATCATGCATCCCGGCAACGCCCATAAAATCCAGTGGCGCAATCAACGTAGGACCCTTTACTGTGGCGTAGTTCCATTGATGTATTGTAGGCGGTGGACACAGAAGATCCTTAGTATTTAAGAGTAATTTTGCTAAAATCCCACTAGCAGCGTTAAATGTTACAGCTCTCTGCAACATAGGCGAAAGCCATGTTTTTGCGATCTGTGAAAAAAATGCGTTTTTCAATGAAAATAGCGTCACTTAATGATTCTGTGAGAATGTGCACCAGAATTCACTGGTAATCAGCTTGAAATTCGAGGCGATCTTTTGCTTGAAAACTTTTTTAGGTTTTATTGTCAGAATAGGGAGGGGTCTTTAAGGTTTCAACGACCAATTTACAAGTTTCCTCAACGAGATTACAACACGCAATCTTCACCAATGCATTTAGTGTGTGTGTGTGGTTCCTTTGGTAAAGCCTCTAAAGGTGTCATGTCTTTATTAATTCTAAACTTATGCTTTCTCTTGCTATTCCTCAAACCAAGTAAATAACTTTTGCATTAGATAACAACCATTTACTAAAATTATTGAATGAAATACTTTTCTTGACAGGTGCTGTCGGTATTTGGGTTGAGTGGTTGGACCTAATTAATTCTGCCTACAACAACTGCCGTGAAATCTGTCCAAAGTACACCACTGAATAACTTGCTTCGAGCGTGTAAACTAAATGTCCTTAATTTCGAAAGCAGTGAATCATGTTTACCGTTAATTGTGCCTTTTAGTCGGAGTCAACACGCATACATTGCACTGGAAACGGAACGAGATTGTAGTCATTGATGAAAAAAGAGTTTGTTATTTGCATGGTAGGGTGCAACTTAGCTTGTGAAAGGCCTCATAGCTGAAACCTTGCCACGTTCATGACCTGTAGTTTGGCTCATTAAAATTGAATATATTAATTCGACTGTTTGGTGCTGTATTTGTTGTTTATTTGGTTGTGAACATAAAGGTCTTATTAACCTGATTTTTGTGTTTGAAGACAATATGCATCGCCCATTCATTGTTTCTCAATCACATGAGATTTCTCTCATTTGATGATTCCTCTTAGAATGCCAGGAGTCGAATTCTTCAGCACCCTACAAGTGATTTCTCACTGACCACGGTATTGTTATTAATAAAAGTTGGTGAAATTCTAAATACGGATCGGTCCGATTTATTTTGGCTAATGTTCGTAACCTCTAACGTGAGCTTATTTAAACGTAAACTTTCATTGTTACATCTACAAATTTAGGTGATTTTGACAAATTTATTTTTTTATATGTTTAACAATAGGTGTAAATGATACGAGGTGTTCCGTTACTGATTATATCAATTCACTAATGTTTGTCTACCACCTAATAATTGCAACCGCTGCTGGGGACGTTTGCCGTCGGAACATTATCTCAACTTATGAAGATGACGAATTCTTTTCGTCAAATATTTTATTGTTTCAACATAAACTGACCCTTTGAAATCCAGCTAACATCAAAAAACCTTAAATAGAATTAAAATAGCTGTTTAAGTGTGCCTCATTAGTAGTTTGTAACTCACTTAAAACAACAAATAACTGAAGTTAAAATGCCAGTGTAAGGCCGGCAGTTAATTCTAGTTATAGAACTTGGTGGAGTTAAGAACCCTTTATTGGCGTGGACACCAGCAGTTTAAATGTTTGATAACACCCAAGGGTGCAAGTACATTGATTTACTTTGGTAATTTTCGTCTTGACTGGCTGTGGCTTTTATAGAAGCTCTAGTAACTCACCACATCCAATAACTCCTCTACTCTGTTCTCCCAATTCATGACTTGTTGCTGCCGTGTTTGTCAATTGACATTCACTTCCATTTAGGGAATCCTGTTTCGACAGCATCTCCTCCACGTCCTCACAACCTAGAGAGAGTTGACTGCCTTCTCCAGCGAAAACGGGAAGCGTCGGCGTGGTGTCGCTCCGCCGAAGGCAGTTATGAATGATCACTCCAACGCACACGATGCACAAAATCACCCCGATTGTCAGACAATTCCTGCACTTGTTCCAGACACCAACACTGATGAGGACCGTTGCCGCAATTAAACCAACCCAGAGACTTGAACAAACTAAACAGCGTAGAGCAGCGTGGAAACGCTCGGTTTTTGTCCCCACGGAAGAACTCTCTCCCACGTTGCCTCCCTCTTTGAACTTGTTGCTGTGAGCGGCGACCAATGTGATGGGATGAGGGTTGAGGGCTTTATAGACTACATGAAGCAGCTTGTTGGAATACGGTGTGAAGTATGAAGTTAGGAGTTTCGCCGTGGTCCGGTGAGCACTTCGAATACTGCGCTAACCTACCACGTAGAACAATGCCACAATAAACAAGGGTCTTCCGTGGACTAGTACCACAAACACATTTACATAAAAACCAAAATTAAGTTATTAATCTACGTGAAAAATGGGTGCTTACAGTCCATTTTAGGATGCCAATAAATTTGAAAACGGAATTCGAAATTGAACAACTCCATTCTGTGTATGATCCAGTTTATGACCAGAGGTTGAGAGAACAGTTCAACAAATAAACACGAGACTCATGTCTACGCGGTAGTTTCTTCAATTCATTTAAGTTTACTAAATGTCCATAGTAAAAAAACGAAAAAATTGATTTGATAATTATAGGGAAATGAAAAATTAGTGACTGCACATAAAGAAGAAAGAATCACGTTTTAACGTATGCTGTCCTAGTTAGGTAGTCAGAACGATGACGATTACGTTGCTTGATGTGAGCTTCAGGCCACTATGCCTTTGTAAGAAGCCCCACGTCGGTCTATGGCAAAGTCAGTTATACGAAACGCTAACAGTGCAGTTATTTGGTATGATGAGGGTGTAGACTAAATGGCTGTTTCCTAGTCTAAACAACATGTGACCTGGAAATATGAGGGTTACGTTAATTAGAGGTCATGCGGGGGAGTTGACGGATAGGATGGAGCAACTTCATCTAATGGAGCAACTTAAAACCAGTCAACAAGGATGAGCTGGGGATAACAGGCACCATTCTCAGCTGCAACAATTCACGAAAACACGCCCAAGTTTGGGCACAGCACAAACCAGGTAATCCCCAACGTCAAGGCATGAAACAGATGCCAATTATACCAAGAAGGGTGCG